TAAGGGATTTTTGGTAAGATTACCCCACCACCCCAAATTTTGAAGCCCCCCAGCCCCCCCCCCCCACCACCCACCCCACTTTTGTTTGTGGGGTTTTTTTCTTCTTGTTTTTTTTTGCTATGGTTATTAGCACTATTAGACTAACATTATTTCTAACACGATCGCAGTATTTGGAAAAATAATCTGCCAGCGACACATAAGTGAAGATACTGCAATGCTTTTTTTGCTTATCCTGGAATCATTTCTCTGAAGATCCCCAGTTATTCTAGTAGTACTAACCATCTCTATCCCGTGAATCACTTTCAAAACCATGTCCCAGACCACAAATGTTTGCTCACACATGACCATGGCAAACAGTACATCATAACACATGACCATGGCAAACAGTACATCATAACAGGGTAACACATGACCATGGCAAATAGTACATCATAACACATGACCATGGCAAATAGTACATCATAAGACATGACCATGGCAAACAGTACATCATAACACATGACCATGGCAATCAGAAAGCCAAAAATCCACAGAAAGACTGATCACTTTATTTTCTTGTACCTTCGAACATTGGGCTGACTGGAAATTACGAAATATGAATAGGCTTGGATTGGATAGATAAGTGATACATAATATTTGAGAACTAGACGCGAGGCCACCACAAGCGAGGGGCCCCCACACGCGTCCGGTTCGCCACCCCCTAGCGCTGGCCCTGCTGTGCGTCATTTTAAAATTGATAACTAAGCGATCCAGGTGCAGGTTAGAGAATGAGATCCACAAAATGCAATCTTAACTGGTTTTATTTCAACTTTTAAATGCAAAAATTAAATTTTATGGTGATCTAACCCTACTAAAAGAAAGTTAACTTGCAAACAAAAATTATTTCAAAGAATTGCAGAAGTTAGCTCCCTTCTCCTTTCCTTTGCTTAGTCTCCTTTCTCTTGAGTGTGTCCTTGAAGTACCTTTCGGAATGAATTGCATTCACATTATTAGATTAAAGCCTACTTTCAGTGGCTTTTGTATGAATGAATATTAGATTAAAGCCTTCATTCATACAAAAGCCACTGAAAGTAGGAACTTTTGTTACACTATTGCGTTTAAAAAAAACAAAACGTATGTTGAGCTCTTATCCTTGAGTATCAACTAAAACCCAAGTTTTGGCTTGATATTCTTGTGTTGACCAATTTTAGGAAAACACCCTCTTGTGAAGTGAGTATGATACATAAATAGTATTTTACACGTCAAATAATTGTTTTTCTGTGCAATGATTGCTGGTGGGGGTAAACGTGAATATAAATATGAACTTGAAAGACTTGTGTTGAGTCCAAAAGGTAAAAAAAATCCTACAATTTTCAAACATACTCTTTCAAATCCTCTTATGTCGCGCCCACTGAGTTAAGGTATGGTTTAAAGGCATACGGTTATCCGTTACCAAAAAAAAATAAAAAAAATAGTGTATACAAGTTTAGAGACCAACAGATTGTTTCCATTATTTGATTACGCCCATGAAATTCGCCTTTTGTGTCCAACACGAAGGTAGGATTTTGGGTACGATTTCCGGCTTGTGAAGCTCTAAGGCCAGTGAGATGCCTATTGGCACCGTCCTGATTATGATCTACATTTTTACTTTGAAAATTGTAGCATTTGCGAGTCCGTTGGATTTTAGAGTTGCTCTTATCTCTCTCACTTTCTATTCTAACTTAATTTTTGTCATTATTTTTTTTTTATTTGATGAAAGAAAAAGGAAATGGAGATTACAACAGAACTAGCTTCTTAGTCCTAATAGTAAACTTTTTCAAGCGCGAGTGCTTTTGATGTTGATGCTTCCGATAGACGCAGTTAACTGTTACGTTTTTATTTTGAAGTTTAATCATGAAGTCCCGTACCAACACATCACTCCACGCACATTTTTGCATGTTTACATTTTTTTTAAAAAATCAAAATTACACATTTTTTTTGGCCCACCTATCTCCCCCCCACCCCCACCCCCACTCCCCCTTTTTTCCGTTTGAAAAGATTTTTTTTTTTAAAGAATTTCTCAACATGTGCTTATTGTCCTCAGCCATTGCTCTACTGCAAGTTATTCAGGACGTCTGCTCAATGAATCGTCTGGCCGCTACAGGGGAATACACGAAAACCCCGTTTGGATGAAAGAAAAAGTTTCAAGCGTACTCGTCGTTGGCAGGAGAGAAAGATAATGGCTTTTCGAGCTTTCGTGTAAGCCCCAGACTGTCTTGAATTTTTCATCGCTTTAAGCTTAGCTGAAGTTCCCACAGGAAGGCAAACAAAAAAAAATATTGTCAAAGCATGCCAGAAGTTTCACATGTCTTATGATTGTCTTCTCTGAAAAGCAAAAGAGAGGATTAACATTTGAAATAGGGAATGGAGAACAATGATCACTGGCACATACTTTATTTTTTGTTTGTAAAGAGTTATGTCTACAGGTTTAGAGAGTAGGATAAGATTTGAAGGGAAAATAAACCTTGGAATAGTGTTTGTTTGTATTCTTTAAACCCCATTTCCGACAACAAAAAAAAGTGTTCATTTGTTTCGTTCTGACAATAGTAATTAATAAATAAATAGTGTTAAAATAGTGTTAAATACCTAAGTTTTAGATTGCTGCATTTAGTAAATCGTGTGCTAGGTTTGCGAGAAGAAGTTTAACTCTACGAAAAGGTGATATGATATTTTATTCGAGCTCCAGGGAGGCAGAGCTCAAGAGACTTAAAATTCGATAAATAATCATATATGATTAAAAATACCTCAGAATAGACATTTTCTATGCAAGTAACTACTCAACCAAGTTTATCCTGCCCTAAATCCTGTATTTGAAGAAACATTCCTATTTGTTATATATGAAAAGAACTATGACTAGTAATTTTACAAGTAATATGACACAACACTTATACATTTTTTTTTTTAAATTGACTGTCCAGCAGCAACTTGAATTTCAAGAATTCTTTAAATTAGACAACTTTTTTTTTCGTCAAATCCTTTATAGTAAATTTGCTTTTGGTTGTGGTTGGCTGGCTTGCAAGACTTTTGGACGACCAATTGACCCACTCTCCTGTCAACCGATCAATGTGAAATGTGACACATAGAATCGTCGCCGATGACGTGGCTTACTGGAGATTTCTTGAATGCATTGGCTTCATTTCAAAAACATTCCTTTATGAACTAATTGACCTCTAGGCACCAACTTTGAAGGATCGATTCCATGTGTCTGATCTTATCTTAATCTGAGATCGTCTCCATCATTTCGATTAATTCCCATTAAGCCACTACCTCATGTATTCCAATTCTGTCCCATTAAGCCAATACCTCATGTATTCCTATTCTGACCCATTAAGCCATTATCTCATGTATTCCTATTGTGACCCATTAAGCCACTGCCTTATGTATTCCTGATATGACCCACTAAGCCACTACCTCATGTATTCCTATTCTAACCCATTAAGCCACTACCTCATGTATTCCTTTTCTGACACATTAAGCCCGTACCTCATGTATTCCTGATCTGACCCATTAAGCCACTGCCTTATGTATTCCTGATATGACCAATAAAGCCACTACCTCATGTATTCCTATTCTAACCCATTAAGCCACTACCTCATGTATTCCTATTCTAACCCATTAAACCACTACCTCATGTATTCCTGATCTGACCCATTAAGCCACTACCTCATGTATTCCTATTCTGACACATTAAGCCCGTACCTCATGTATTCCTGATCTGACCCATTAAGCCACTGCCTTATGTATTCCTGATATGACCAATAAAGCCACTACCTCATGTATTCCTATTCTAACCCATTAAGCCGCTACCTCATGTATTCCTATTCTAACCCATTAAACCACTACCTCATGTATTCCTGATCTGACCCATTAAGCCACTACCTCATGTATTCCTATTCTAACCCATTAAGCCACTACCTCATGTATTCCTATTCTGTCCCATTAAGCCACTACCTTATGTATTCCTATTCTGACACATTAAGCCACTACCTCATGTATTGCTATTCTGACACATTAAGCGACTACCTCATGTATTCCTATTCTAACCCATTAAGCCACTACCGCATGTATTCCTATTCTGTCCCATGAAGCCACTACCTCATGTATTCCTATTCTGACCCATTAAGCCAATACCTCATGTATTCCTATTCTGACCCATTAAGCACTACCTCCTGTATTCCTATTCTGACACATTAAGCCACTACCTCATGTATTCCTATTCTGACTCATTAAGCCACTACCTCATATCTTCCTATTCTGACACATTAAGCCACTACCTCATGTATTCCTATTCTGAAACATTAAGCCACTACCTCATGTATTCTTATTCTGACCCATTAAGCCACTACCTCATGTATTCCTATTCTGTCCCATTAAGCCACTACCTCATGTATTCCTATTCTGACACATTAAGCCACTACCTCATGTATTCCTATTCTGACACATTAAGCCACTACCTCATGTATTCCTATTCTGACCCATTAAGCCACTACCTCATGTATTCCTATTCTGTACCATGAAGCCACTACCTCATGTATTCCTATTCTGACCCATTAAGCCAATACCTCATGTATTCCTATTCTGACCCATTAAGCCATTACCTCATGTATTCCTATTCTGACACATTAAGCCACTACCTCATGTATTCCTATTCTGACTCATTAAGCCACTACCTCATATCTTCCTATTCTGACACATTAAGCCACTACCTC